GTTTTCCCTATAACCAAACAGTTTCTAACTAATACTCTAGAGTATTGTGAGCTTTCTATAGCTATTGTATATATAGCACCATTGTTGTTTAAACAATGTAGGTAATGTTCTTGAAGCGTCAAAGAGTCAATCTTTCACTTTATGTACCATTATACCAGGAAGTTAAATCAACTGACATATTCTATAACATGACAGTGCGTGTGTGCGTTGGAGCACAGATAGCATCGGTGAAGAGTTAAATGTCGCGTTCCGAAACTTGTAACAAAATAATCTAAATAAGAAATTGCTCTCTTTAGACGAAACAATATTAGGTAGAAGAACCGAAATGCTAAACAATCAAGCCTAATTACCAATGCTAATCATGGTCTGCACAAGGAAAGTGAACGACGCGAACATGACGTGAAAGAAATTCGAATATCATGAAAAGCGTGATGCCGCCGAGCGCTAAACATTCAACTAATAATCAGCGCTAAGTTTGAATCGAGCTGCTTTCATTTAGCATGTGTCAATTGCTACAGTATACATGTGTTGTTAATTGGTTCTATGATCTCGTTTGGCTCTATTGTAAGGATTGAAATATAAAACGAACTATGGATGTGTGTGTTGCGCAAATGGTAACAGTGAATTTTGTATACCCGATTGAAACCACCGCAGAGCCATTGGTATTCAATATGGTTTCAGGAATCAGCAACAGATATCTCTTTTGAATATATCCACAATATTAACAATTTGCTTAAATGATTCATTTGGGTCATCAAATGTAGTTGCGGTGGAAAATTTTTATGCCCAACTTTAAGGTATTTATGTATAGAGGCAGTTTAATATATTTTTTATGTCTGTCACCGCATGTTAAAAGTGTCTACTAATCTCAATTTTTAGATCATTAAGATCATATCATCACTTAGTACCAAGAAACTTTACAACGAAGCATGTGATTTCATGAGGAATGTGCTTGATGATGTCAGAAGAAATCTATTAATTCAATTAGTCTGGCCGTCGCCATATCATCACCAAAATGCCCCTGAAATGGGGCCCTTTTACAAGAGTTGAATCGAGGAAATAACGTGATGTATCCGTCAACAACTGTTGATCAAGCAATTAATTCAAACAAATCTGCACTGTCGAATGACATCAGGAAGTAATTATTCTGTGATATCTTGAATGAAAGAAACAAAGTGATGAAACGGTGGATTCTGTGACTGGTGTACATGGAAAACTTTTGTTGCTTTCATCTAATGCAGTTAGCAACAGATTCGGCTGCAACAAAATGAAATTTGCAACTTGCCTCGCTTCGTCGGAATCGCAAGCACACTTTGCTTGAAGGTGGTCGTATTCAGAATTAAGAATTGCATTGAAAATGGCAAAGCAATGAATACTCCGCACTCGCAATTTTATTTCCGAAGAACTCTGCAATATGGCATAAAAGGTCTTTGAGCACGATGTAATTAATTGTTTGGTAGTGAATGGGCACCCTGCACATAAAAATCTTGGACGGCTTAAAGACGCTTATATTCACGGAGAATTCATAAGCAATTTGCGTGGGTGAATGGTTTTCATTGCTGGTAGATTTTCGTCAACATTGCGCAGTTGAATTCACGATCAACACCAAGCTGATGAACTCAATGCAATGTTAGTAGTCTCCAATTTGTGAACATGTTAAAGTACTTCATTTAAGCAAGATATGCGTTCGATTTGCAATAATGGACTCAATCTGGAAGATATTTCTAAACATATGCTATTGTCGGCAAATTTCCTAATAGACCTGTTAACTGCTAAATTTGAGGAAAAGTTAAATGCGCCAGTAGAGACTCGATCAAAAGATGAAACTTATTCAGAGGAAGTGTTTCCAGATGTTTTCTAAAAGTTAAGAAACCATGATTGGTTGAGCCGAACGGAGCTATATTGGCTGCCAAAAACATAAGATGTAAATGAATTAAATTTAAAAATTCAAGAAACCAAATTTACGAGGACGAATCGAGGGATAATATAATCAGTTGATTTGGCTCCTAACCAAGACGATGTTTAGTGAAATCTATCGCACCATGAATTTTTAGAACCTTCGCTGGATTTTGCCAGGATTGCTGACTACTTTTCGCAAAATTTCAATTAAATGGTTGGATGGTAGTTATAAGATGGTTGCGAAATATCAGCCAACGACAGGTTCTTGCAACGGAAGCGGTTAACGCATAAAAATTACTAAGACAGGATAGAAGCAACTATAACGAAAGGAGGTATAGAAGGAAAACGTCCCTCATACGACGATCATGATTCAGGGATAGTGCGTTTGACTTTAAAACGACTACAGTTTCCAGTATCCGGCTTGTTTTGCTATGACATGAAAATAGCTCCAGGGGGCAATCATTAAGTGTTTTGTGGTAGTTAATCATGGAAACACATGTAATTTCACATGGTCCAGATTGTATGTTGCCCTGTTCCCAGTGTTGGAAAAACCATACAGATCTGTTTTTCTTGTGCCAGTAATGAGAGCAAAAACATCGTATATCACTAAAGGCAAAGCACAATAAAATTTTTGAAAACTTTTTTTTTTGATTCTTGTTAATAAATTAAATGATTCATGATGAATTAACAATCAAGCGATTACTTACTTTTAAATGCTTATATATATGTATATATACTATATTATATATATAGATATTCTAAGTACTATATATATGATTGTTCTTATTTAATTATTTTTATTAACAAACCGGCTATCACAGGGTGAAGTCTGTTCAGCACGAGAATTATTATATAGAGATATAATATATGTAGAGAGAAGAATTCATTAATAGGCAAATGCTTTTTGACAGGACGAAGTCTGTCGGGTCCGCTAGTCTTAAATAAAATGAGACTTAGTTTTACAACGTTGATTTCTTTCAACTTAATTGAAATTACACGTTACTAATAACTACCTTAATCACTGATTATGCTAAGACAATTTAGGTTGGAGCAAAATACCTATCTACAATTTACTTACTTACTTACAACTCTATGCAAATACGATAATTTATCTAATGTTGCTGTCCACTAATGTTGCTGTCAACTTGGTTAAGTTTGCATCAACGTGTTACCACAAAACATACTCGTAAAATTAAGTTTCAATGTGTTAAAATTCGGTAACCCAATCTATGGTTCCATTGCGCTGGTCATAGGGACGGAGGATGAGATGAAGATAGTTGGCGAGAGAGGGGGGGGAGGGACATCTTGTGGCCAAGAAACATCTTGTAAAGGAGGTTTCTATGAAATCATTTATCGTCTCTGACCCAGAACAACATTCACTTGACCCAAGAGAATTCATTCAGAGAGTAGCTTCAACGAGAAAAAGACGTTAATGACCAGCTTTCGCCGAGGATATCTATTTGAAATAATTTCTCAGTGGAATACCTCCAAACGTGTATAGTTGTATTAGAAAGCAATGCTAAAGTACCTTCTAACAAAAACCAAGAATCTTTCTGTTCTAAAGACTTAAATTTGAGCAGACGGTAAAAAGTCAGATAAAGTTTCAAAAAGTGTGCAATAACACGTATTCACATTATGTCTGGAATAATAATAGGAACGTAAATATTGTCGTAGCAACGAAGTCAAAAGTAAGAGCTATTTTGTTTAGTTTCCTTAATAATAAACATTCGTAAGAAACAATACATAATGACATGTACATATAGTGTATATTCCTGCAAATAATTTAATGTTTAATTATCTTTCAGTCCCATTAAAATGAATTACAGAAGGGCAAACAAAATAAAAACTTTAAGCTTAAATAATTTAATGAATTCAACATGAGTACACTTGATAGAAAAACGTTATTGTGCAGGCATATCAATGGATTATCAATCATTAGAAGTAAGACGTATGCGACCACTAGCGAAATTTACTGTTTCCTTATTTGAACTCATCTGGTACTTCTTACAGGAACAAATTATTTAGTATTTGCATATCTTACACAAGGATGTCACACAGTTGTTAGCACATATGGCAGACTTCTAAAAATTCTCACGAACGATTCTCACGAACGAACTTTAGAACGATAAGAACTTATCACCGAAGAGGCGCATAAAATAATTCGGAACAGTTTGTTGCTCCGTATTTCACCAAGAACTTGATCAACAAACGATTTTATGGAGGAGATAACTAATCTTACAAGTAGGTTGTGATATCCAACATCACACTTGAGAAGAATTAATTAAAACAAAAATATGAATTTACACTCTAAACATAACGAGGTAAATTTCGCGCATAACTTAGAAAATTAAACCTCAGAGTTGATGAATGAGATAAGTTTTCTTTATTTATGAATGTCTATTTTGCAAACTCAACTTTGTTGACTATTTGGCGCATATTTTAGATATAGTATTATGATTTATAATACAATCTACTATAAACCATCTATTCCATGAATCCATCTATTCCATATTCCATTCTCATTCCCTTCCTCTTACAAATACACCAAGTTTCCGGTTTCGGATTAAGTGGACTTTCGGATTACCGAAGTTCGAATTAGTGAGGGACTACTCTAGCAGGGACATAAGTTGAGATATCCTCTTCCTTTTTCTTCTTCTTCTTCTTCTTCTTCTTCTTCTTCTTCTTCTTCTTCTTCTTCTTCTTCTTCTTCTTCCCCTCCATCCCCTTCTTCTTCTTCTTCCCCTTCTTCTTCTTCTTCCCCTTCTTCTTCTTCTTGTTCTTCTTCCCCTTCTTCTTCTATACCTTCTTCTTCTTTCCCTCCTTCTTCTTCTTCTCCTCCCCTACTCCTTATCCTCCCTCTACTAATTCTTCCTCTACCTCTCCTCTATTATTTTTTTCTTCTTCTGTCCTCTTCCTTACCCTCCCTCTCTTTCTCTTGCTTCTCCTCCTTGGCGTCGGTGGCACGTGTGCGGGTCAGGACGCGTGTGGCGGAGGCGACTGCACAGCCGCGGAGGCGGGGGCGGTGAGGGAAGCGGCGAGGAAGGCCGTTTCGCGGCTGGAGAAGGCCCTGAAGCGAGCAAGCGCGGTTTTGTGTGCCGCAGGCCACCTCCACCATCACCACCACCACCACCACCACCTCATCGCCGCCGCCGCCGCCTCCGGCATCATCTGGTGCGTGCAGTCACGGTTCCGCGCCCCCGGCACCGCCTCTGCCGCCGCCGCCGCCGCAGCGCCGCCACCGTAACCGCCGGGGCTCCCTCGCCTCACCGCCTCTGCCGCCGCCGCCGGCGCCGCCCGCGGCCCAGCCCCACAGTCGCTGGGGAGCCTTCGCCGCGAGGGCCGCCCGACATCATGCACGCCGCTCGCCACTAGGTAAGCCCCGCCCACGCGCGCGCCTCCTCGGCAGACGCGTAGAGTGAAAGCCTCGGAAACAGCTGAGCATCGCCGAAGACCCCGTCGAAGATGAGTGCAGCGCCAGCTGATCACGCCGCGGAAGTGGCATTTCAGTGAGTGCCGTTAGATGTTAGGCATACTATTCACTAGTGATTTAGGTCGTTCCGGTTTCATCAATAAAAATAATGCGGTAAGAATTGATACAAGTCATGTCAAAAAGCATGTGTTTTTACCAATAATAATTTTCGAATACAGAAATTAAAAGTGGGGCCATGCATGTCGAAGGATATCGACAACCCTCGATCACCCAAAATGAATGGAACCGGGAATCACTTTTATGACGCTTTCAATTAAGTTCCAAATAGTTCAATTTTAATTCAAAAAATAATTTACGTATATATAATAAAAGTTTTGAAGAGCAACTTCCTGAATTTCCAGCTCCATAAATAGTTTCCGTACAAACATGCTTCGGTTGGCGGAATGACCAAGTAGCAAGGAGTACCACGATATAAACACACGTTAGACAACGTTCGTGATATGAGAATCATTTCTAAACCTTATTCATTGACCACGCTCCTTATATGATTTGGCAGAAATGACTCAAAATAATGGCTCACGGGACGCATGCGAATATACTCCAAAACCCTATCATTTAGGGTCCCGCGATTGCAAAGGTCACAATTCTTGTGTATTAATATAGCCTAGTAATTTATTTACTTTAGAAATTGATAGTGCATAATTACTTTAAAAAAAATAAATGTTTTCCAAGCTACAAGCTATAATTGGAGGTCAGTTTTGCGAACATTTAACTGGGTCATTCAATTGCAAGTGTATTAATTGGGAACTAATATAATATAATATTTATCAGCAATACGTTCATGACATTGTTGCCAAGTGGACAGTTCATTTCAACCGTGGTATTTCTTGTCTGTCAAGAAAATTAAATACGTGGCATGTTGTTCCTTGGACCATATTGTTTACGCTGATTTATATAATCCATTTTGAACAGTTGCTGCCCAGTGTGAGCAGGTCCGTCTGATGTACATTTTGTAAACCATATTCATATATTTCTCTTATAACTGACTCCTCAGTGAGAACACATTTATCTGGTCAACCCAAATTTTCTCCTTTTCCAGTAATATATGTATTTTATTGCCTCAATAGCCATCGCCAACGCAACATATAAGCACGTTTTTCGAATTCCTGAATGCTAGATGTTGTTTGTGCCTAAATTGCTAAAGCATTGTATACTCCTGGCTATAGCATATTAATGACATGCGACGGCTAAAATCTTGGGAAGCCGAGCTCATCAGCTCCCTCTTTATGGTTAAATTCGATCGAGAGGCCGGTGTAATGCAAATGCTTGTTGGCCAGCGCCTAACTTGACGGGGCATATGCAGCTAAGATCTAACGGTTTTGCTACTTATAGAAAATAATTGCTCGTATAACCAGCGGTTGGTGCTTTGGAGCGCTCTAGTGGTATAATTTGGCAACATAACAACAATTTGGAGATTAAACTTGTAAGCAGATGCTACCAGATAGCTGCAACAATGGCTGCGCGGGCACGGACGCGACGACAATGGGTGAGCGCTATGTGCGCAAAATTAATTCGGCCGTTAATGGGTCAACGGGCCACAGAACGTGCAAAATCCTGCCTTCCCCGTTCTGCCCTCCTCCAGCTTAGTGGTTGTGCGTGACACAAAATCAGTGCAAAGAATTTGTTTCTCCTCTGTCGTCTAAATATAATAATACCCAAAGATCAAGAGATAAAATTTTATTTGCTCTTGGAATCCGACAAATACAATCACATATGAATTGTAATGTCACTGTAAGGTCTCATCGTAGTATTCACAACGCATTGCGATCTTTCTCTGCTTTGTTTACAGCGACTCCTCTTGTTGAAATGCTTTCTTGGTGATCCTTAGTAGACTCAATTTTAAATACTTTATACACTATTTATTGTTATTATATTGGTGGATGACTTAAGAAGGCAGAGGCTTCATACACAAGACAGATATCGATATTTCCCATAGAATATACTAAATTAATAAGTATATCTTCAAACATTTAATGAATAGTATGTGTTTCCTTGGAGAACAACCGATGTGATTTATCCAGATCGTTCTCGAATGATTTATGTGATTAGATTTAATTTATTACTAATTCTGCAAATAAGTAACACAGCTTGATGGCATAATATCTTTACTTTTATTTTACATAAATTAAACTTACATTGACTAACAATACATTAGTTAATTAAAGAAACAATTATTAATAACTAACAAGAAAGCAGTTAATTCAAAATTATAATTAAATAGAATAAAATTTCACCGCGCAAACCTTACTTCACTTCACTTCACTTCACTTCACTTCACTTCACTGCTCTGCACTATTGAACTGTCATGAATTTCTTCCGCATTCCTTTCAATTCTCTTCAAATCATAACGCTGCACTACACTGCACTGTGATCAATACAATGAAATGCGCCTGGCAATATTATCAAGAAATAAAATATTTTGTAATTCTTTTAGACTTACCTGATTTTACAGACCGCTTAGTCACTCGTCCGTATAGGCATGACGTGGTAGCTCCACGGGGTTGCGCGTTTTAGATTTTCTAACTATGACGTAAAGACGACTGTAGCCAGAAAAATCGCATCGCTGTCGCTAACGTGGAATTGCTACCACTGACATAGCTGTGTTTGGCTCTCAACGCAAGAAGAGCTGTTCTGTCCCAGAATCATGTTATTTATTCTTTAATTTGTCATTATATGAACTTATCAAAACCGTAATTTCTCCTGAGAGATAGGGATTTTGGACGAATTTCCGAGAGATCCTTAGAACAAAATTGAGATGCACTTTTGCTTCTGGACAGTAATTGTATATATATTTCTTTATTGTTTTTATTATTATTGCTATTATTGTTGTTAACTACGAAGGTACTCATTGAAACCTCGTAAAGGTCTAAAACTATGGAACGAGGTCAATAGAACATTACAAATAGATCACGCCTATTTTGCACGTATTTTGCAATATTGCTTATCAGATGTCTAATTTCCCTGAGGGCATTTTATTTAGTTAATAATGATCGTTAGTTACGTGTTCTTGTAGTAGTTAGGTGTTCTTGAACAAGTTGAAATTTCTGGAGCTAGGGCTACTGGAGAACTTGTGAGAGACATTGTATCCTTAATATTAAAACACACAATGTAAGTTCCGTTTCTGTGTTGCTTGTTTAGGATATTCAGGAATAAAACAAAACACCAGATAAATAATACCTCTTTTTTGAAATGAACATTTAGTGCCGTACGCTTGTTGTATATTTATGGTGAGACCGAGAGGAGATACGTACTTCTTGTTGAATAAATCAGGCTCCAGTGGGCAGACGTGTTTAATGCTTGTTTGCCTGAGCGTAAAGGGTGAGGCTACCTCTACAGCTCTTCGGTTAAAGATAATCACTCTCCTGCGAAAAGGTAGCGGGAGAGTGAGATGATGATGATGATGATGATAATAATAATAATAATAATAATAATAATAATAATAATAATAATAATAATAATAATAGTCTTTATTTGCCGATCCGATTGCCGAGATCACTAAGACAGTAGTGCGGTCTCAGACCAGATGTTCGAGGTTTCGAATCCTGCCGCGGGCATGGTTGTGTTGTGTGTGTGTGTCTATTTCATCATTCATCATAATCATAATTTCATCCCATCCCTTAGGCAAAAAACTCTGGGGTATAAAAATGGAATCAGCATTGAAATGCTGATTCCCCCTTCATCTGCTATTCGTAAAAGTTAATATCTGGATTTTGGCCGTAGAGTGTCTCTTCTTGCTACTCCAAACCCTTCACAAATATGAACAAAAAATTTGTAGTAAAAAGCCATTGATTTCACTAAAATCAAGATATTAACGTTTACAAACAGCAACAGCTTTCCACTGGCTGGTGTGGCTGATCTTGTTTCCGTCTCAAGCCCTTCATTGAATAGAATGTTCGTGATGGACATCGTCTGTCATTAATGGAAAGTTCAAATGGAAACAAATTATGAGAATGATTCTCTCCCTTAAAACTCATACCTGAGTTTGCTGATGTTGCTCCGACTTTACCAAACGAGGATTTAATGCAAGTCCCGTTCGTAACTGCAAACCTCTGCAATAAACCACTGAACACGACATTTACTGGTGCCCGTTCAGGACCTTCGGTTGGACATAACACGCTTCGTGACGGCAAAACCCCGAGCTGAGTAATAACTAGACAAGGGGTTTCCATCGTGGATGGTAACGATCCCCCTGTGGATCGATGAAATTTTAAAGAGGCTTATGGTGGTCAGAGGATCGATTTGAGGTCAACAGATGAATCCGCACCGGCGAAAATCCTTCTGATTACAAAAAAATATTAATGAAGTTTATGATTATTTTTTTTATAAAAAGCTTCAAAACGTCCCTCAAATACAAATTCGCTTCTCTTTTGAAATTTCTCATTATTGTAATTAACAAAAATCGAAAACTTGTGCAAACATGAATCCGTGATATCGTTTTTTAACAACTTGATAATATTATTACTATTCCTCTTCTTCTCATTATTATTATTATTATTATTATTATTATTATTATTATTATCATTTAGTCTGATTTATTTCCATTAAGGACAAAGGCCACCTGCATGCAGTGTGGGTGATTATTACTAATTCTTACAATTATTGTAGAATTGTAATATTATTCGTGCATATTACTCGCTAGTCACTTTGTTATTTTTTCTTTTCTAATCTTTCTTAACACTGTACACATCACAACTTTTCATTCCTTACACCTCCTAACTCACTCAACACTTTTAACATTTCCTAACCCTTTCTTAACACTTGCTATAAACTCACTTGGACTGAGCAGTCTCTTTTCTCAATATTAGTTCTCGATGTTTTTATCACTCTGTACCTCTTTGTTCGTTCTAACCGATTTGATTTAGTCCTTCTCTACTCTCTACACTTTTCCGATCTATAGTTGTACGTACAAGTTCTTTCCACACTTCTTCCATGCTTCTCTCGACTGCGCGTTTCCAAGTTCTTACTTAAAGGTATCATCTTTTCTTGGTTTTGCCTTTCTGGATCACGTCTTCGAAACTTGGGGCATTTACAGTAGTGATATGGGCTCTCCGTGATTACATTAGTAAAAATTAAAAATGGTAATGGTCCAAACAAGCATAATTCTAATAAACCATTTTTTCCAACACTGTAGTTCACATTATTTACATAATTGATTTCTTTACGTCATTTACGTGAAGTCATTTGTGTTATGAGAACGTTGCACGGTGGATATAATATATTTGTAAAATGTTGAAGAGAGATCGAAGAAGTAACCCATTCTTTGAAAACGAGTCAATACATAAGGGAGTTGGGAGTCCTTGAGATAGAGTATTAGAGCACTCGATTCAAATTTTCCTGCTTAATCGTGAGCTGCAATAGTGAGCTTCCGAAAATGTTATGCCATTAGCGTTAATTTTAAAATTATCTTCCTTATGTATTTGTACGTCTTATGTAAAGTCATGTGCTAAAAAAATACATGAATACAGTAAAAAAGAGAATTGCTTCTAAAAGAAGGGAACTTGGACACAACATTGAAGGGTAAAACCATTATGAATTTTAATGCACGTCAGAAGCTAGGTTTTCACTTCGCAAAAACAGCAATATTTATTATGCTCGAAGCGGTCCCAGGACGTTAATGATTTTTACAATAAATATTAAAACTTTCTAATTTGATATTTATTCAATTGAAGTTGTCAATCTTGTCTCTCCTTGATTAATCTAGATTATATTGCTGGAGTATGAATTGCAGGAACCAATTTGCGTGGACTATTGAATTCGATTATCTCTTTTCGCCACAACAGTTCGACCCCTTGTCTTATTTGCGACCTAGAAACCGCTACTGGCATACTAATGCACTGTGATCTCGAGCTGTTCCCATTAACCGAAGTGCTGGTGACAGTAAAAAATATTTTTAGTATATTCACTGATTAGCATTTAGCTTTACATGTGAGGTTTACGTTGGCTAGTTACAGTGACTTTACAAAACAATGCACGAAATTGATCAAGTTGGGGGCGTAGAAGACTAGGGTTTGAAGGGGCGAGACGGAATTATTTGTGTATGATGGATAATGGTGACTTCCGAAAACGGTAGAGTTGTTGCGAGAGATTTTGGCTGCGATTGGTTGATATTGCGAATTGTTTAAGTTTAGGGTTTCCAGCTGTCTTGGCAGTTATTTAACTTCGGTGGTAAGGTTGGTTTACGACTTGCCTAGGAGTTGTTCAATGATATTCTGTACGCTCATTAGTATTGAGTTCTTATGAGGCAACGGATTGATTGATTAGCTTTCCGGTCGCTTCAACTGCTAAGGTCATTAATCCAGCAGAGTTCATGTTTATATCTCGGGATGTGTGGGTGATATTTTCCCTCTGGATGTAGAGATCTGTCGTGATTTTACATCTCGACGTACGGGGTTTTCCGCGCACGGTATCTCCCACCAGCGGGACACCACCTCAGCCTAGTCAATCTCTAACTCCCGACACGTGCGATAATGTAGTGCATGTAAGTATAAATGCGTGTACGTAAGGGGTGAGGATAGGACAAGGCAGAGGAAGAAAAGGTCGCGCGCACTCCATGGCTCGTTTGTTAGGGTACTGCTTCGGCATTCGCCCGGCGTTGATCGGAGAATTTACGGAAAACTACCGATAAGAGAATCCGTTCGCTTGAAATCTGCTCCGAACCATGACCCAGCCATCTAGCTAGTATCGAAAATCCTACAATCGTTTGGACTCGAACCCTGTGTCATCCCTCTCAGACACACTGGGATATCTGAGCCACCCAAGTCAGTAAGAGGCAGTGAAGGTTAGGGTCCAGTGATGACTGTGGTGGAAAAAGAGGGTTTGTTCAGTTCGGGAATAACTTCTTTGAGTACTGACTGGGGATCGCATATTTATTGGAGGCAAAATTTGAATAACATGCGGTATTTGTAGATTCACGTTTGTTTGAGAGTTAGATCGAGAGGATGTACCATTTGAGTGGGTTATTGAAGATACTTCCTGTAGAAGTGGAGAATGTGATATTGTAGGGGGCGTTGGCTCTGCGACCTTCTTCAAGGTTTCTTGTTGCACAGTTGGCGAAGGGCGGAGCGTTCCTGGGATTAAGGCACTTTGAGCACTGTACTTCCGGGCATCTCACGCAGAGTTGCTCACGGGGGCAGTTGTTCTTCGTGTGGTTGAATTACTGGCAGTTTTGCTACTGAACGAAGCCCGGTCGTGTTCTTGTATCTACGCTGACGCTTAAGTGAAGCTTTTTAGCGTCATTAAGGATCTGCCTAGCAGTACTGCTACTAGGCAGGCATAAGATCTGCAGCTATATATTCTGTTAACTTGCTTCAAATGGTATTCTAATGATTGCAATGTACAGAGGATATGCTCTTCTGTATAATTGGAAGGAGGAGAATGGAGGAATTTGTTGCTAGGCAAGTTATACGTGTGATATTTTAAGGAGGGGCTGTCGAAGTGAGTGTTATATGAGAGGAAGTATTTGCTGGTAGTGGTTTAAATATTTATGAATTTAAGTCGAGCTGGTGGTGAATCCGTGGCGCGGGATATCTGTGACATACGTAGGTAGATAAGGAGTTCAACATGCAAATTTTAGGATTCTCATTTGGAGGTGAATCTGCACATTTTGGAACATATCCGTTCTCGGTCCGATCTACACTCATCATACAAGTCAGGACGCATTAATTGAGACAAAGTTTCTCTTAACATTCCAAACATGAGGGTTTAACGGACATTTACGTGATTATAAATGGACAAGCTCGTAGAAAAGTATAAACGTCACACTTCATCGGAAGAATCAGGATGAGAAGAAAGAGGCGTAAAAGAGAAGTGAGAGTGAGACGAGCATGCGATACCTTGGGTTTAATTTTTTTCGCTCGTGATTACCAGATTATTATTGACAGAATCTTAGTGACTTTGATCGGGAGAGGTGGCTCAGGGCAACTGATGTCACTGCATGCACGAGTTCCGACGGTGGCAGGACTTTCGATCCTAGCTAGATAGCAAGGTCACTGTGTGGAGGAGAATTCTAACGGCCGGCTGATCTGGTCGGTATTTTTCTGCGGATTCTCCGATCAATACCAGGCAAATGCCGGAGCAGTACCTTAACAAAAAGGCACGAACTGCGGGCGATTTTTCCTTCCTCCTCCTTGTCCTATCCTCACCCCTTACTTGCACACACATTGTCCTCCACTACACTACTACACATGTCGGGAAATCAGTCGGGAGTGTAGAGCTTGTCCTGAATGGGGCGGTGCCCCGCTGGTGGGATATGTTAAATGATACATCGCAAGCACCATTTGTGTGCTACGTAGCCACGTCAATGCAAAAGGTTTTGAGTGACTGCTGTCTCACGTCAAACAACTAAGGCAGGCATTCCTCCACGGAAAAGGTCTCAAGTTTTGTTGGTCTGCAAATTGCCTCTGAAAACAAGAATCATGGGTTTATCAATTTTTCTGTCGCGTTTTTAAACAAAACATTTTAAAATTGAGATTGTTAATTAAGAAAGAAATTCACATTGTGGTATTTATATTGACCGAGGTACATAACTTAGGTCATCATCAAATGTGTACTGAAAAAGAAAAATATTGTTCTATAGCGTTATTGTATGTATTGCATGATGGTTGATGAATTAGAACACAAACATTACTCAATAGTAAGTGACGTTTGCATGACTGTGTTTGTGTAGCATGAATCGACAAATTCACAGTACTTCTTGATAGGTTTCTTTTGTATTTTTCTTCAACAGTAGAAGATTTTCGAAATTGAAATACAATGCGCATTCACTGCGCATTGTATTTCAATAAACCTAATCATCCTACGTACCATAGAGAATAATGCAATTGAAATTGCTGTCATACGTTACTTGCCACTTTTGCTTGCTCATTTCTCTTTGTTGTGTACATTCTATTGTATCGAAAGTAATGAAATGACAAATAAATCAAATATGTTCGACAATAGATTTTATTATTAGTATTTGTTGTTCAGGTAAGGAACTAGTTAAAACTAAACACATAAACATAAATATTATTAGTTATTTTAAGTGCATTCCACTCGTCAGACGATGATTATCATTCGACATTGAATGTCAGGGCAACCTTTCCGATTACGCCCCGTGCCTCCAGTTAATACCACTGCCTTTTTACACCCTAGAGTGACTTGACTCTAGTCTTGACCCCGTAACGTCGCTGTAGCAGCTGGCTCGCCGCCAATCAAGATATGGCTTTGAATTGGAAACACGAAAAGATATAAAGACTCTGTTGCAGATATTATTGTTTGTTTGAAACTGCAACCATTAGATTCCGTGCGCTGATCCTCGTGTCAATGGCTTACGAGGCGGCAGGAAGCAGGGAGGGAGCGGTACCCTCCCGCACAGAAACAAGAGCAGCGGGATTCGCCCGTTGGACACGTCCGCCGACACGACGCCTCGCTCTGGGTGCGACGCCCCGACCCCAAGGCGCATCAGCACCCAACAACCCGCGACTCCGCCGTCCCGACGCCGCGCCACCGCACCGACGCCTCCACCAACGCTGCCTCCGCCTCCGCTCCACCAACCTACACCGCTCGCCTCGTCTCCGTCTCGCGTCTCACTACGGCAAATCCATCGCAGTCTTCGCCCCCGCCACTGCCGCCACGCCGCCTTCGCACCCCGCCACTGCGCCCCGCCGCCTTCGCCCCGCGCGCGCTTTCGCCCGCCGCCTTGCCCGCGGCCTTCGCACTAGCCGCCTCCGCCTTCCGCCCAGCCGCCTCGCCACCGCCGCCGTCGCCACGCGCAACCTCCTCCACCTTCGCCGCTTCGCCTACCCTACCCGCCAGACCCAGCGCTGCCTCACCATCCCGCGCCCTGCGCCACCGTGCCACAACACCACCCCCGCCTCCGACCCCGTCCGCCTACTCCGCTACTTCGGCTTGCCATCTGCAACTACCGCCACCCCTTGCTGTGACCGCTGCAACCGGCTTTCTCCGCGCCCCGCCTCGCGCCCTCCTCTCTCACCCCGCTCCCCGCGGCCGTGAGAGCAGCCGCTCTCAGGAAGAAGCGAGGCTTCGGCAACGGGACGCCATGTTGCCCCGCTCGATGCGCGTCGCCGGGTAACTGCGATCGCGGCCCGCGCCGACGGCAGCGCAGGGAGGGGGGGCGCTGGAACACTTCGAGCTTCCGTCCTCATCGCCGTCAGATTCGCCCCTCTCCGCCAAAGAAGGAATCCAGCAGCGAAAAATGCATACGCGGAAGCAGCTGCGCCGCAACGGTCTGTGCGCTAGCAAATATTTGATGCCTGCCTCGGCTTTGAAGCCGCCGAGGCTGTACCTGAATGTTAAAGGTTCAAATACCGTGCACGGCTTGGCGGGTTACAGCAGATGGCTGGGACGCGGAAGGCTAAAACTACCCGCCACGAGTCATAATATCATACTGGGCCTCACCGGGTTTAAAATCACACGAGAATGTTTGGCGTTATGTGATCAATTAAACTTTCGTATGCCATTTTGCTGCCAAACACTTCGTTAGCGCAATGCAGTTTGCCGACAATTTTGTTGGTCCATAGCGGTCAGAAAAATCTCATCGGTCACAAGGCCTTGCAGAATTGAGAAATATAAATACATTTGGAGAGGAAATTTCCTGAAATCATTTTGAGTGGCTTATTCGGTAAATACATACTGTGTATTAGGTTTTGAGTTTAATTACATTTGTGTTGATTTAAAATTACAGAAAGGGGAATAAGGTAGATTCTTGTAATTCGGAAGTTTCTTCATTTGTTTATTTTTACGAGTATCTGAAAGTAACTTTGGGTAATTTTGATTTGACTCTCTTCGAGGTGTTTGCTTGTTAACCTAAATCAAAATAGGCATCACTTGGACAAGATGGTAAGAGTGTAAACATTTTTAGTATAAGGTAATCAGAGATACTGTAATTAGCGAAATATGGTATTCGTCTTGAATTTGATTATTGGGCATAAACCATGGTGCATTGAGAAGTCTTCGGGGAAATTTGTTTTGGATGTTTTTTTTTGTGGTAATATTGCTAGGTGCAGTATTTATTTAAGCTGGGCAGGGTAATGTCAACATGCGTGACTTTTTGCAAAGGAATAATTTGCTTTTGATTTTTTTTAAACGCTGAATTGATGAGTGGAAATAGTTTGACAGTTTTTGTAGTTGCGTTTTGTGAATTGTGTTGTTTCCATGTCATTCTATTAGTATACCAAGATATTTGATTATCCAGGAATTGTTTGACAGGGGAAGTCGAGGGTTATTGTTAGACGTGTTTTGATTGAATATGAGGATGCAGATTTTTATTTATGTTTTTGCAAATTAATCTTTAGTCGCAATTTCTGAAACTAACTACTGAAGATATGAAGGTGAGATTGTATATGATCATATGCTATGGTTTCATCGGATGGGAATCGTGTTGTTTCGTCTGCTTATAAGGTTATATTGGAGTCTGGGGCTGTGAGATGATCTGTAGTATAAATATGTAAAAGAACGGGAACAAGGACTGAACCTTTGTGGACACCTGCACAATGCTGTAAAGGTTTTTGAAGAACGATTCGATTAATTTTGACTTTGACTATGCGGTTGGTTAGATAATGTGAATATTGTTTGGAAAATCAGGAGTGCAATGTTGCCGAATATTGAAAAAATGCCTTGGTGCTAAACGCTGTCAAATACAGCTAAGTAAGCTTCCTGCTCTAAGTTACTGCTATTGTGTGCTCTTTGGAATGAAAGTTGTTTCCTATGTGTTTGACTAATCGCAGACTAGGATGAGTTGTTAAGTGATTTGGGAGCCAAATTGTGTTTTGGGTATCGTATTATTTGTGCTTAAAAAGTGACTAGACCATTGAGTATTAATGTTTTGAAGATTTTAGCTAAAGATTGGATTGAATATTGCTGTTATGGCAGCACTGCAGCTAAAGGAAAGTTGTTTAAATATTTGGTTGGAGATTCTCGCCATTATGACCGCTAGTGTAGTGAATGTTTCATCCCGGGAAGCATTAGTGATTCCTCCCCCACGAAAATGTGAGACCCCGACCAAACCTACAGGTCGGCTTGCTATTGATGCCTCCGTGCACTCGGTATTTCCTTCAGCGCAACACAGCCCCAGCCTTGAGTTCTTGATTGGTCTCCCGACATGTGTGGAGTAGTGCATGTTTCTGCAAGGGTACAGGATAGGACAAAGAAGAGGAGGGAAAGATATCGCGCTGTACGTGGCCCGATTGTTAGGGGATTGTTCAGGCATTCGCCTGGCATCGATAGGAGAAACCAATGAATTCTGCCGGTTGCTAGACCGGCTCCTCTACTCGACTTAGCAACTCAGCTAACCTCGAAAATCCACCACAGTCGGTACTCAAACCCTAGAACCACCCGGTGAAAGTCGCTACAAAGTCAGCGGTTCTGAGCTGGCTCTGATCTAAACTCAACCGGCAATTCGGGGGTGGGGGTGGGGGAGACACCGTCATGTTCAAGGTATTAATTCGAATTTTCCAGGTAGAAGTTAACACGAGTACATTTTACAGAAGGTCGTAAACCTTCATTAATTATTTCATGAGCAATTACAGAATTATAATTCAGGCGGTTGCTGTATTTTTCCTTCTTATAATATTTAAGATATTTAATATATAAAGATTATATAAATAATTTATAGATTATATTATATAAAGATTAAAATATTTAAGATCTTAAGATTTTCCGAATCAAATCATAAATGCATCTTTCGTTATCCAAGATGTGTTGTGTATTGGAAATATCTTACAGCTCAAGGTGAGCTCTCCATGTTAATGTTTCGTACGTAGAAGAGCTTACCTGGTATTCAAAATGCATTTCAAAACGAAGAACAGACACTAGAAATTTCTCTAAGCAATACGCGAGTTTATTTTCAAGATCTCAGTACTGTAGATATAGTTACTGCAACATGGTAAAAGTCTTAATTCTTCACGGGCTACTTCTTTCAAGGTGGCGTTGTTTCTAATGTGATCGGTGCATGCATCTTATCGGCTACAGCACGCTCTTGTTACGTTTATGATTGATTAATGTTAATTCTTTATGCCATCCGCATTTTCTACATTTCTTTACTTAAAGTAGATCACCAGATATTGAGATAACTATTGGTTTATTAATTTAAATTCGCAATAACTTTACACAGATAATGCTTAATACATTGCACTTCATTTAAAGAGAATTTTAAAAATAGTAAATCCAGTACGTCTCTCAAATGTCCGAGTTTTCTTATTATATTCTTCGCAAATTTATATGCACAATAAAACTTTTATTTATTAATTTACCGTCAAAAAATTGTAGGTACGGGCCAAAGTCTTACAATTATTCGAAGCACACAAGGACCCAGCCCATTCATGTAGTTAGATAAGGCTCGTAAACTAGGAAAAATAGTTGTAGCGTCGTACAATTGAGAAGGAACTTAAAATTCATTCATGACATTAAGTTTAACAAATGTAAGTTATCGAACATTGTAAATCCCCGACATATCACCAACCTCCATATCACCAATAAAAGTCAAAGGAATCACAGATTCTTTTGCTAAGGTTTTCTTTCTGAAATCGATTAAGAATATTGGAGGTTCATATAATAATAGGGCGTCGCCAACTGAAGCGATTGCTATCGACACCGTTCCATTTGGGAAGAATTTACGAGAGAAACAAATATATTCTGGCGTCAGCGCCCCATTTTAGATGGGAATATGGTTGAATCAAAACTAAACTTACAGTTTGTGAGATTAAGGGAGACCCCCTACACTTAGCAAAAGTGTCAAAACAGTAGATTTTGATAAATAATTAGATAAATTGATATTAAGATCAAACCCATACCAGATTTTCAGCTGTACTCCTCCTTGTCATATTCTAGCAACTTGTTCTTTCCTATTTCCGTTCAATCGTTGTTGCTCTCTATGTCTTCGGGATTAGAAAGTCTCTGATTACAAGAAGACATAACCCGAAAGTTTTGTCATGGCTCTGTTTTATCCCATTTTTTTTAATTGGTCGCGGCATAACCGCAGA